CACCTAGGCGACCGGTGTGGTTTGTTCAACTGATTGCTGAGTTCGAATGCATGACTTGTTCCCCACCACTTCTGCTAGGCGCTCGTTATGGTGGCAACGTGTGACTGCCGTGTGTGCTGTGCATCTACCGTTCCCCTAGCTAGATCGTCAACGGTGTCGTTTTTTTATAGTTAGGTAACAGGGAATCTGTTACTGTACCAATAAAAGTTTCCCTGCAACTCGATCTGTCTTTTCAAATCGCTCTCCGGGAACCGGTACAAGCCACACGCTAAAAGCCGCAGATTCATTCAAGTTAGGGAATATAACGCTACTATCCGTGAGTCGGCACGACGGGGATCCTTTACCCCACATGCCTTGGATTCGACACTTAAGTGTCGAAAACAACTGGTATAATTATACCAGTTGTTTTCAGAACTGGCGGTGGGACTCTGCAAGCGACCTCGAAGCAACGGTAGCGTAGGTTTTCTGCTCTATTGCCGGTGTCTTAATAGTTCCTGAGTCTTCAAGACCCTTCGAAATTTTACTGGCAAATCTAGTCCGCTTCTTCTTTTGGCTTAGGGGAGCAGGGACCGTTGACCTTGTGTTGCATTGAGCAGTTACCGACACTTCGTCAGAACGGGTAGGTCCAGTGGTAGCCGAGACGGTCAGCGTCTTCGGAAGGTTTTCCTGTGCACAACCGTCAGATGACTTTAAGACTGTGAAAGATGGCATCTTTCTCGATGCCGTGGCAAGTAATTTACTGGGTTTAGCAGAGGAGTTCTGGTACTTCCGTATCCTATTTTTCTTCCCTTTGACCGACCCATGAGGATAGTCAGCAATGCTACCTGGAGTGTCCGGCAGGATGCGCGACTTCTTGACCGAGTGACCCAGCGGACGGGTCGTCAGCAATGTTGCTGTCTATTGCATTGTCCATAATCACAATATTCAGGGATTTCATAATCAAAACAATTTTCACATCGAGCGACGTAATAGAGGCGAGTTCGGCTATCGCCTTCTCAACGGGAGTGGCTAATTTTTGTACTGAAAAATTGGCTTGGAAAGGCTTTGTGTTCCGGTACAAGTTCAAGTGGGACTGGAACGATAGGATGAATC